CATCTGATTTCACACTCAAGCCCCTTTTTTTGTACCGCTCACGACTAAAGAACCAGTCCCTGCCCACCCTCTTCAGTTCGTGCTCATTGTCTTTGAGGGGCTGGGTCCTGGCACATTCGACATGATAATCTGCCTTGCCAGTTCTTCTACGTCATCGGAACTGATTACGATCTCTTCCCATGCTTTCAGCTGTTCGTAGGACCGCATCTACTCCCTTTTCTCTTGTAGTCTTTTCGCCTGATTCTGTAGACCCTTCACTTTAGATTCCTTGTTCCTGCAAAAGGAATTGTGCAAACTCAGGCTCACGTTCTTCGCCAAGTCTTCCTCCAATTTCGACTCCCTCGCTTTAATATTGTCTCGAGGCGCTCTACCAACTCTTTTCCAACCCGTGGTTATCAGATTACGATGGGTTTACAAGGGCCTCTTGAAAGCTTCCGGTCCAATTTCGGCCAGGAAGTGTCGATACTCCTTCTGATGTTTCTTCATGTGATCCTTCGTCACCGTGTATAACCAAGACATCAACGTCGCTCGAAACCATGCGAAGAATCTTATGCGACTCCACACGTGCCTCACCTCCATAGGTATAGAGAATATTTTGCACGCAGACTCAAACAGCTCAAGCATCCGTTTGTATTCAATGGCATGTATTGATTCTGCTGTAGGTGCTCTCGACTCTTGATATTTCGTCACATTTTCTTCGATCCATCGTAACGCCAGCGTCGAGCTCACCAATAAAAAAGGTGACCTTCTGCTGATGGTCAGGTAACCCGACTGACCAAATTTCTTTCACGTCCCATATAAAGCAGAGGTTCGAATGCTCCGGGTACCACACTGTCTGCGCCAGGCAGTGGCATGGGCATTCCCCATTTGTCAGGTTGATTCTCCGTAGGTTGCGTTCACCATCGCCATATGTAATGGATAGTGGCTTCCACACAGATTGGTCATTACCGATCCCGCTAAATACTTTGGATTCTCTGGCAAACTGTAGGCTTCACTCACGGGAAATCGCATCTCCGCCTCAAGACAGATCTTCCATCCTCTGATGTGCTTTTGGACCATCTGCAACACTCCAGGCCATGACTCCACGCTCAATGCCGTCACTAATTGGTGTTCAGATTCTAGCATCTCCAGTAATTGCAAGCTACACATCCTCGAGAAGAATCCCAACGCCGTCGCTATGTTCACCGTGGTGCTCGTGTAGCATTCAGCCACTATCTGCACCTCATTTTTCTCCTTTTCCGTGATGTCACTAAACCACGTGGCTAGGTCTTCCTTCTTAAACGATTGTATTCTGACGCAGGATCGCCCGTCACAGGCATGTTCTCCACATCCACACACCAGGTCTAGACAACTACCCGGTTCCATCTTCTTCACTAGCTTTTCTTGTTTGCTCGTCGTTTCCTCCGATTCCTTCCGCTGAGGTAGATTAGTTTGTGCACCACGTTCTGATTCCCCAAATCTTCATCCTTTGCAGGTGACAGTCTCACTCGCATTCTTTAATCAAACTCGCGTGTGGATGAGAGCACCAAGAGGGTCTTAGCAACTTCCAAACAATCCCCAAATTAGTGACCAACATGTTGTTTCCTTTTCCCATCTTTAGTTTCACCCTCTTGTTCGAGCGCGGCACGCTGATCACCTCTGGCATTTTCTCCAGTAACACACCTAGTCTTGGCTTTTCCCTTTTCCATCAGATCGATCTCGATGATTCTCTCCGTCCAGAACTTCAACAATTCTGCCACCCCAAAATTCATGTAGGCACTTCCAACCACCAATTCAAGAAAAGGGTTGTAAGCTATTCCCATTACTCCAGACGCAATGATATTCTCCACGTTTTGTGGGTTTCGCATATTCTTCTGCTCGGGCCAAATTACGATGCACATCATGCCCCTCCTCGACTTTCTTGTTGTAGAACCTCCGTAATTCATCAAATTTCCCATGGTTCTCTAGAGACCGCCTCGAGCTCTCTTCTTTTTCGATTCCGGTACTCTGGTATACGTTCAGGATAACAGTGGAGACTCTCATTTCAACGGTTTTACTTCCCTTCGCTTTTTGATGGCACATTTGTACAGTAGTGTCGGTTATCACTGATATAATTCACCTCAAGAAACAAGTGGCATCTTTTCTTCTCGTCAGGCTTAATCCCGAGTTGTCTCGAGCAATATGTTGCACCAGCATTTGGTACACTTGAAGACTCTTTCCGCCCAGTTTTAGTTTGTCGTGCGAGGTCAACGCTTCCAATGCCACTCCCGCAAAACTCCACGTGAACATCAACTGTCCTGCCGTGCGGACAAAAGGATTCGCCATCAATGGCAACGCTGACGACGGTGCTCTCATCGCGTCTTCAAAATACTCAAGCAGCAGGTTCTCCCAAGCCCAAGATCGCCCCAACTGGTTTCCCAGCTCTAGTTAACTTCGGCTTTCTGCTGGGTAGCCCAAGACCACTGCTTGCGGGATACCCCGCGATCAAGTTCCTTCAGGCGATTCTCCAGTTCCTTCGTGGTCTCCAGAGCTATCCACCAAGACCGAGCGGTATTCCTCGTCGCATTCCTCTTGAGAGGATCGCCCGTCACTTGCTTCCCAATGGCCTGGAGTTGCGTCGAAAGCCACTCCTTGCGGATGCCCACTTCCCATGTCTGTCCGCTAGTCGAACCCCTCTTCACATTTGTCTTCTGTGTTTGAAGTCATCCTCCGTTCCCGGAGTTGTCGAGGCTTCCATTTCCCGCAGTACCTCGGTTGCCTCCTGGGTGCTAAGCTGCTCTTGTAGGCCGCTGTTTTCCCTCGCGCTCGAATCATGGGAGCCGTCTTTTTAGATTCTTCTCTGAAACTGCATCCACAGATTAGGTTTCCCAGATTTAGGGCTATTATTGGTGTTCTACCTATAAGCCGAAGCGCCCCCTTGTTTGCTGCTGACAGTCCTATTCTTGAGTCAATCAGGTCATCTTTGTCGAATCCCATTCTTCTCCAAGTTTCAATTGGTATTACACTCAAGACGGCTCCTGTGTCCAAAAACCCACGCAGTTGTGTCTTCTTTCCAATTATGTCCAATACGTGTGCAGACATGTCTGCCTCTTTCCCCAGATGCATGGCCTCCCCTTTCAGCATAGCACAGTGCCCAATGGATCTCTTTTTTAGTTCCTTTCTACCAACATAGATTTGCCCGGCAAGATCCTCGTCAAATGTTATCATCGTTTTTGTGCAGATGTTTATACTATCTTTATTCAACATGATCTCATGTTGTCCATAGGCTTCCGTGTATCTGTTGTCTATGCGAACTGATTTGCTACCACCTCTCGTGAGTAATGCCCTTAAAGCTATAGAAGGAGTTTGCGGGCTTATTGCACTCAAGTAGTCCGCGTATACATCTATGTGCATCACTGTCTGATCACTCGGTTCACTCAGGTTTCTTGTTACTTCGTGGCCGCCCTCTGTGATTATTGACATGATTCTTGCCCCAATTTTCGTGATGCCAAATGGTTTTCCAATTACCATTTTCAAGGTGCTGCGGTTGCCCTTGCCCATCGAGTTCTCTCCAGTCTCTGGTTATGGTCTTGTCATACAGAGCGTCTCATTCAATCTCTGTTTTTCTATCTCCTGTTTACGCCATTGTTTGATTTCTTTCGTCGTCAAGTCTTGCTTCTCTCGTAGTTTATTTCTAGAGAATTTCTTTTCTCGGCCCCCGTGGCATCTTTGTTTTGGGTCACGGCCTTTACTGTCTTTGTTGACAATTCACCACTCGCTGCTTCTTTATTGTTCAAGTCGTTTTAGGCTTGTGTGTTCCTAGTATTTTGCACTGCGGCCAGTGCTATTTTGTGTTTTGGGTAATTCTGATTCTTCACTCCCTCCCAAACCAAAGGACAGTACATTCTGAAATGGCCTTCTTGATTGCAGAAAAAACACCTCTCGCCTATTTTGATGATCAAGCCACTATAAAATTCATGTTCCTCCGTTTGATTCATGTCCTCTTCTTCTGGTGCGTATCCCAAGCTCTTCTTGCCCTGCTTTTATGTCGTGCAATCTGCCACATGATGATCCGCTGATCGACAATTTGCGCAAGACCTACGTTTGTCCATGTCTTCTCTAGGCTTGTACCATGATTAACTTTGTGGCTGGCTCCCCCCTTGCATGTTCCTGTCTTCTGAGTATCAGTACTTTTTTGATTTCATTAACATGTACTCTCTTGACTTTTGTCTCATCTCTTCTGGCGTTGGTGCATTATCCTTTGATAGTGTATAATACGTTGCCAGCATCGTTCTCAAGTCGTCGCTTCTCACCCCATCAATGAGCTTTGAAGCGATGCTGAAGTTTCTTCTAACTGTCGATTCTTCCGGGTCGCTTCTTCTTCTCAAGCTCTCAAGATCATCCAGGAATCGATCGATTGACTTTTCTTCCCTTTGTCTTCTTTTTTCAAATCTCATCATCGCTTGATGACCCCTCATCCCTGACCCGAATCGGTTCAACAAAATCTCGAAGATCTTGTCCGCTGTATCACGATCCTCCTCCTTCTTTGCTACCACGCATTTTAGTGCGGTGCCTTATGAGTTGCTTAGTTTTGCCGTGCAGGCCTGCCTTTCGTCGTTCAAGTTATCTTGTTCTAGATGTAGTCTCATTACCTCAACCCATGTATCAGTGCAAGCATCTGAGTCGTCTATGAATTTCTTAGGTTTTTTGAAGGTCTTCCGGGATTTGCCACTGCCTCTGTCACTTGAATCTGTGTTCCTCGTTGCAAAAGATTCAAGCGTCCTGTTCATCATTTCCAAGGTATTGGCCCCCATCATGGCATCCGGTCGTACATCCGTATGTGATCCTGAGTCCTCTGTTGTCCTTGTTACATTTGAGACTCCCACTTTCTTGGCCGTCCTTATCCCTCCAGACGACATGGTACTGTCAGTTCGTGCTAACGTTGTAGATTCTCGTTTCTTTCGTTGTAGTTCCACGAAATCGACTCTATTTCCAGATGATGGCTTTTCCGCCACTGATTTATCTTGGGCTAATTAGTTTCTCTAGAGTGCATCCAGTTTGGACTGTATGGCACAAGATTTTTCAGCTTGTTCCTTGCCCATTGCATCCATTCTAGTATCTAGATTCCACAACTTCTCGTTCACGGTGTCGTACCGTTTCTTCATTTCTTCCATAACCTTCTTGATATGTTTCTCTCGCTCTTTGTTGGTAGCCTCTACCTTGTCTGACATCTGCTTTAGCTTCTCTTCCGTCGCCGTTGCCAGGTTGAAGCAGTTGTCTAGGTTCTCATTCTTGTAGTTTCGTATCTCCTTTTTTAGATTTTGGCGGTCCTCCTCACTGTATTTCAGTTCCTTGTCGATTTGCTCCAACTTTGCAATCAAGTCGCCCAGCTCAAGCGAAAATTTTTTCTTGGTTAGCCATTGCTCCATGTGTGACCTGCTCTTCGTCTTGTTTGGCCTCTGTTAAAATTGCGGAACCTGTTCCAAACGTTTTGCGTTTCTCTGTCGTCGGCATTACCTCCTCTTTCTCTTTTGGTTTCATCCCGACCATGGTTCCAATCCTCTCTGTGAACGACGTTCTTTTTGTGGAATCGTCTTTTATCGTTTCAGGCGTCTTGCTTGTTGGATCGTCCACAATGCCACTTGGTGAGAACTCTATCGTTTTCCTTTCTTGTTCTTCTGCATTTCGCATTGGTGTTGATTCCGTTGTTTTCCTTTCCACCCCGTCAATACTCTGATCTGGGGCCTCAAGATCGATTTCTCTAGCCGGTTCAGCTGGTTGTTCCATAGCTTCTCCTTGGCCTTATGTTCCTCTACGCTTCTTGTTTTGACCATGTTCACTGAAATATTCTTTCTCATTACTTTCGGATTTAGTAGTGTTGCTTTCCGTTGCGAAGAGGTTTGATTTTGCTTTAGTCCTGTTATTTTTTTTTTTAGTTATCGATACCCTATTTCACTTCATGATTTTTATTTGCAATTTTTTTAATTTACAAATTTAATATTTACAAGTCGCCATTGTAAAATCCGATTGCAATTATATATAAAAATTTTTTTAAATGTATTAAAAGCTAAAATCAGTCGAATTTAGTCTAATTCAGTTTTGAATCTACATCAATTTCTAGTTTTGGGATGCTGAGAACGAAGGTTTCTACTAAATATTCGTTCTAGTTTTAGGATGCCTTAATACTTTCCCAAGACTTTCCTGAACCCTCCTAGGACCCTTCCCTCAAGTGTTGGGACACTTCGTTACTGTCCCAGGATTTTTCTGAAACCTCCCAGGACCCTTCGCTCAAGTGTTGGGACACTTCTTTACTGTCCCAGTACTTTTCTGAACCCACCTAGGACCCTTCGCTCAAGTGTTGGGACACTTCGTTACTGTCCCAGGACTTTTCCCAACCCTCCTAGGACCCTTCCCACAAGTGTTGGGACAGTTCGGACTGTCCCAGAACTTTTCTGAACCCTCCTAGGACCCTTCGCTCAAGTGCTGGGACAATTCGTTACTGTCCCAGGACTTTTCTGAACCCACCTAAGACCCTTCGCCTTAAGTGTTGGAACACTTCGTACTGTCCCAGGACTTCTCTGAACCCTCTTAGGAGACTTCGCTTGAGTGTTGGGACACTTCGTACTTTTCCAGGATTCTTTCTGAACCCTCCTAGGACCCTTCGCTCAAGTGTTGGGACACTTCGTTACCGTCCCAGGACTTTTCTCAACCCTCCTAGGACCCTTCGCTCAAGTGCTGGGACAATTCGTTACTGTCCCAGGACTTCTCTGAACCCTCTTAGGAGACTTCGCTTGAGTGTTGGGACACTTCGTACTGTCCCAGGACTTTTCTGAACCCTCCTAGGACCCTTCGCTCAAGTGTTGGGAAATTTCGTTACTGCCCAGGACTTTTCTGAACCCACCTAGGACCCTTCGCCTTAAGTGTTGGGACACTTCGTACTGTCCCAAGACTTCTCTGAACCCTCTTAGGAGAGTTCGCCTGGGTGTTGGGACACTTTGTACTTTTCCAGGACCCTTTCTGAGCCCTCCCAGGAGACTTCGCTGGAGTGTTGGGACACTTCGTACTATCCCACGACTTTTCTGAACCCTCCTAGGACCCTTCGCTCAAGTATTGGGACACTTCGTTACCGTCCCAGGACTTTTCTGAACCCACCTAGGACCCTTCGCTCAAGTGTTGGGACACTTGTTACTGTCCCAGGACTTTTCTCAACCCTCCTAGGACCCTTCGCACAAGTGTTGGGACAGTTCGTACTGTCCCAGGACTTTTCTGGACCCTCCTAAGACCCTTCGCTCAAGTGTTGGGACACTTCGTTACCGTCCCAGGACTTTTCTGAACCCAGTTAGGACCCTTCGCCTTAAGTGTTGGGACACTTCGTTCTCTCACAGGACTTCTCTGAACCCTATTGGGAGACTTCGCCTGAGTGTTGGTACACTTCGTACTGTCCCAGGACTTTTCTGAACCCTCGAGTGTTGGTCCAGTCGGATCTCTTGTTCCTCAGTGTTGGGACACTTCGTACTCTCACAGGACTTCTCTGAACCCTATTGGGAGACTTCGCCTGAGTGTTGGTACACTTCGTTACTGTCCCAGGACTTTTCTGAACCCAACTAGGACCCTTCGCCTTAAGTGCTGGGACATTTCTTACTGTCCCAGGATTTCTCTGAACCCTTTTAGGAGACTTCGCCTGAGTGTTGGGACACTTCGTACTTTTCCAGGACTTCTTCTGAACTCTCCTAGGACCCTTTGCTCAAGTGTTGGGACACTTGTTACTGTCCCAGGACTTTTCTCAACCCTCCTAGGACCCTTCGCACAAGTGTTGGGACAGTTCGTACTGTCCCAGGACTTTTCTGGACCCTCCTAGGACCCTTCGCTCAAGTGTTGGGACACTTCGTTACCGTCCCAAGACATTTCTGAACCCACCTAGGACCCTTCGCCTTAAGTGTTGGGACACTTCGTACTCTCACAGGACTTCTCTGAACCCTATTGGGAGACTTCGCCTGAGTGTTGGTACACTTCGTACTGCCCAGGACTTTTCTGAACCCTCGAGTGTTGGTCCAGTCGGATCTCTTGTTCCTCAGTGTTGGGACACTTCGTACTGACCCAGGATTTCTCTGAACCCTTTTAGGAGACTTCGCCTAAGTGTTGGGACGCTTCGTACTTTTCCAGGACTTTTTCTGAACCCTCCTAGGACTCTTCGCTCAAGTGTTGGGACACTTGTTACTGTCCCAGGACTTTTCTCAACCCTCATAGGGCCCTTCGCACAAGTGTTGGGACAGTTCGTACTGTCCCAGGACTTTTCTGGACCCTCCTAGGACCCTTCGCTCAATTGTTGGGACACTTCGTTACCGTCCCAGGACTCTTCTGAGCCCACCTAGGACCCTTCGCCTTAAGTGTTGGGACACTTCGCACTCTCACAAAACTTCTCTGAACCCTATTGGGAGACTTCGCCTGAGTGTTGGTACACTTCGTACTGTCCCAGGACTTTTCTGAACCCTCGAGTGTTGGTCCAGTCGGATCTCTTGTTCCTCAGTGTTGGGACACTTCGGACTCTCACAGGACTTCTCTGAACCCTATTGGGAGACTTCGCCTGAGTGTTGGTACACTTCGTTACTGTCCCAGGACTTTTCTGAACCCAACTAGGACCCTTCGCCTTAAGTGCTGGGACATTTCGTACTGTCCCAGGATTTCTCTGAACCCTTTTAGGAGACTTCGCTTGAGTGTTGGGACACTTCGTACTTTTCCAGGACTTTTTCTGAACCCTCCTAGGACCCTTTGCTCAAGTGTTGGGATACTTGTTACTGTCCCAGGACTTTTCTCAACCCTCCTAGGACCCTTCGCACAAGTGTTGGGACATTTCGTACTTTTCCAGGACTTTTTCTGAACCCTCCTAGGACCCTTTGCTCAAGTGTTGGGATACTTGTTACTGTCCCAGGACTTTTCTCAACCCTCCTAGGACCCTTCGCACAAGTGTTGGGACAGTTCGTACTGTCCCAGGACTTTTCTGGACCCTCCTAGGACCCTTCGCTCAAGTGTTGGGACACTTCGTTACCGTCCCAGGACTCTTCTGAACCCACCTAGGACCCTTCGCCTTAAGTGTTGGGACACTTCGCACTCTCACAGGACTTCTCTGAACCCTATTGGGAGACTTCGCCTGAGTGTTGGTACACTTCGTACTGTCCCAGGACTTTTCTGAACCCTCGAGTGTTGGTCCAGTCGGATCTCTTGTTCCTCAGTGTTGGGACACTTCGTACTCTCACAGGACTTCTCTGAACCCTATTGGGAGACTTCGCTTGAGTGGTTGGGACACTTCGTACTCTCACAGGACTTCTCTGAACCCTATTGGGAGACTTCGCTTGAGTGTTGGTACACTTCGTTACTGTCCCAGCACTTTTCTGAACCCAACTAGGACCCTTCGCCTTAAGTGCTGGGACATTTCGTACTGTCCCAGGATTTCTCTGAACCCTTTTAGGAGACTTCGCCTGAGTGTTGGGACACTTCGTACTTTTCCAGGACTTTTTCTGAACCCTCCTAGGACCCTTCGCTCAAGTGTTGGGACACTTGTTACTGTCCCAGGACTTTTCTCAACCCTCCTAGGGCCCTTCGCACAAGTGTTGGGACAGTTCGTACTGTCCCAGGACTTTTCTGGACCCTCCTAGGACCCTTCGCTCAAGTGTTGGGACACTTCGTTACCGTCCCAGGACTCTTCTGAACCCACCTAGGACCCTTCGCCTTAAGTGTTGGGACACTTCGTACTCTCACAGGACTTCTCTGAACCCTATTGGGAGACTTCGCCTGAGTGTTGGTACATTTCGTACTGTCCCAGGACTTTTCTGAACCCTCGAGTGTTGGTCCAGTCGGATCTCTTGTTCCTCAGTGTTGGGACACTTCGTACTCTCACAGGACTTCTCTGAACCCTATTGGGAGACTTCGCCTGAGTGTTGGTACACTTCGTTACTGTCCCAGGACTTTTCTGAACCCAACTAGGACCCTTCGCCTTAAGTGCTGGGACATTTCGTACTGTCCCAGGATTTCTCTGAACCCTTTTAGGAGACTTCGCCTGAGTGTTGGGACACTTCGTACTTTTCCAGGACTTTTTCTGAACCCTCCTAGGACCCTTCGCTCAAGTGTTGGGACACTTGTTACTGTCCCAGGACTTTTCTCAACCCTCCTAGGACCCTTCGCACAAGTGTTGGGACAGTTCGTACTGTCCCAGGACTTTTCTGGACCCTCCTAGGACCCTTCGCTCAAGTGTTGGGACACTTCGTTACCGTCCCAGGACTTTTCTGAACCCACCTAGGACCCTTCGCCTTAAGTGTTGGGACACTTCGTACTCTCACAGGACTTCTCTGAACCCTATTGGGAGACTTCGCCTGAGTGTTGGTACACTTAGTACTGTCCCAGGACTTTTCTGAACCCTCGAGTGTTGGTCCAGTCGGATCTCTTGTTCCTCAGTGTTGGGACACTCGGATCTCCTGTTCCTAAGTGTTGGGACACTTAGATCACTATCCCAAGACCGTAGGCTAGTCTCTTTGCACTCCTTCCAACCTCGTAGCTCAAGTGTTTCTTCGTCTGATTGATGATTTCCCCTGTAGCTTGTGTCGAGTATTGGAATTTCCGATCCACTATCCCAGTACCAGCGCTAGAGCGTTAGTGTTAAAAAATACCCAAAACCCAATCTTTTTTATCGAAATTTTACCTGCTAACCACCCTGAAATTACTTTCCTTTTATTACGACTTGTTAGCAGGTGCCTTATGATTTCCAATTTGTTAAAAGCCAAATAATTTTGATC